TCCAGAAAGATTATTCGAATGGGCGTAACTACTCGTAATGTCTTCTTGTGAGAGGGGATTTTCATGTGTTTGTAACGCTTTATAAATAGAAAGCTATGAAAGATAGAGTGTCATTTTCTTCATCGATTAACACACTCCCACGGTATTCACGGCGAAAACACGTACTCCAACAATACACACTGAGTGACCCCGGCGGCCGCCCGGCACGTCCGACGTAATTGGTTGCTGATAAGATTCGCATCTCAGCACAGACGCAGGACAAGAGTTAATAAAATTTCGGATTTCCTGGCACTGCTGTACAATTGCGGTCGCGTTTAGGGATAGATCTAGAGTCTAGGCCTACTCGTTTTGACCCCACCAAAGATTACTTTTGGTTCTAAACGATTACTTTTTAAGAAGTGCCTATTTGCAACGCCACGTTGCGATTAGCAGCAGTGCTAAATAACACACCGCGTTGCAATTAGGACAGTGCTAAATAAAACTCTGTGTGTTACGTTAGCCTATGAAGCTTAATGTACCTTCCGTTGTTGGAACTTGTGATGGCCGAAGGGACAGCATGTCTGCATTTAAAGCCAAATTATTATTTTATGAGAATGGGTTCAAATCCCGGTCCTCTTGGGGTTTTTTTGTCCTCTTCTCGACTGACCAACAAATTTTTCCCATAATTATAACTTGTTGCTTTGTAGTTGTTGTTTTTTTTTAATGTAGAGATGAAGCATGCACATTCTGGTTTTGTCCCCAAGAGGAGCTCTGTATAAAGTAGGCCTTATAGTATAGCCTATACTTTTCCTTTTAAGTTGCAAGCAATGCCAATCGAGCTTCCGCGCACGGCGAAAATTTGGTCCCCGTCTGCGGGTGAATTTTTGGACTGGGTCGAAACGACAGTGACTAACTTTCTCGAGCTAGTTCTGCGCTATTTCTGGACCAATGTGAAGGAAACTTGGCAACCAATTAGAAAATAGGGCAAAGTAATGATGTGTGGAAGTCGAATTACGTACTCATAAATTAACCTATTCTTTTGGTGTAGGAAACACTTTCATATCGGGTACACCGAAGACTATAAGGAGTTCGATATTCACCGCCGAGATGGTAAGAAATTTTTCTTTCCTCTATAGTGTGTTCAAATTTGAACCTTCTGTGTCAAGTAGTGTAGTTGTGCAGAATTTATCATAAATGCACGACTACCCCCCTATCCAAAGCGGCTTCGCACGGAGACCGGCCATTTTCCCCTCACTCCCTATGCAAACGTCTCTGACCTACAAATCCCCGCATGACTATTCCGAGCGCGTTCATTGGTCACTGTGAAATAGGGCAATGGCGGGCGTGCGCATCCAGTTGTTTTTCTCTCTGTTCCCGTGTAACATCGCAATGGGGGTATTCCGAGGCGAGCTTATCTCGCCTTGGGGTGTTCGCGTCTCAACGGGAAAAAAGGGGTTATAAATTAAACGGCATGCTAGATTGAATTAAAGTATATTTTATGGTTGGCATGGTCTAAAGTCATCAAAGAAAGCTTTGCCATTATTTAGTCATGCTGGATTCTTAAAGATCCCTTGTTGTGATATGATGCTATAAATAAAATGGACTCATCCAGACACCCCTTTATTGCAAAATCGTAATATGTACTCAAAAATTTTAATTATAACAAAAAAACTACAACATGGTTAGTAAATCTGACGACAGAAATGAATTTTCCACCCAAAAACACATCGGGTAGCCAAGTTTCTTTCTAACACTCCGATTAATTACTGAGATATCGTCGATTATCTTACAGAATCAGCTACTGCGTGGTCCACTGTTTAGGAGTATTTTCCTATATATATGTGGGTCATCCATATTTTGCCAACCTTTACAACCCAATAACTTTTTTATTTATGAACCGATTCTTAAAATTCAAGAAAAGCATAATTCTCTTAGGTACCAAATAAAAAAGTTTGTTTGTCTGTTAGTTTGGTGTGTGCATATATGTGTGTATGTGTGTGTGTGTGTGTGCATAATGCCACGTGTGCGTTTGTGTGCCTGTGAGTGTATGTGTGTGTGTATGTATATTTGTGTGTGGGTGTGTGAGTGCGTTTGTGTGTGTGTTTTTCTTTGTAATTTTTTTTTGGTCACAGAGTCACTCTGTGGCAATTAACGCCGCGTTAGTTGCCACAGCATCACTCTGTCGCAATTAAAGCTACTAATTGCAAAACATCAAATTATGTTCAAAT